AGGCACGAAAAGGAAAATAATCGGCGACAGGCCACATCAGGCCTACACTTCAGCGCCGAAATCAATATGCTATGTTATGTTAAATCAACCTTGTCTTCTCTATTCAATCGAACTCACCAAAAAATTCTACTCAAGGTTTGAAATTTGAAGGTGAAGAAGTTATAAAAAGATGTTATTTGATTAGAAATTTTCGATTTTAATTCTTCTTCTTCCCGGTTCTTCAATTAGTGATTGACGATTTTAAAATCTAATATAGTATTTGAGATCCGCATATTAGCCCGACATTATTTGTATTGTGTGGCTTGAAATGCACAGACACACGTCTTAAAATATATAAAAGATTGCAATCAAATTTCGTTTCACTTATCTTTTTCCTATAATGATACAGTTCAATTGTGGAAATTCTGAAAATATTGTCAATATTGTGTTGTTCAACAATATCAATTGAATAAATTGGGAAATAGACCTAATTGCGAAAATTGAAATTTCGATGTGATGTATAGTATAGTATAGTATAGTATAGTATAGTATAGTATAGTATAGTATAGTATAGTATAGTATAGTATAGTATAGTACAGTACGGGATCGAACCCGCGCCTCTCTGCTCCAATCTTGGTACTCTGAACTGTAACCACTGGGCCACCCACCTGCCTTGGCCCACATGTGCAGCCAAGTGAGGAGAAAATAGCTAGGGCTCAGCCTCTGCCGAGCATTCGGACTTGATTCCATATACCATTTCGATGAAGTTATAATAAGAATATCCAACTAATTTCTTGAATGAGTTTACGATAATAAAATTGATAGAACATTACTTGTATTACAAACCAGGTACAAGTATCGATCGAGACACGAATGCGCAGGCAGCAATTACTTGTCCCGATAGTACGAGTGTTGAAGAGTATGCATTAGTGATTAGAGAAATGAGATTAAATTGATCATATGAATTCTTAATCATTCATTTGCCTCAACTGCTGGTTGTCAGAGTAAAAATTAAATAAAGCATTATTAACATTCCGATCTGAATGTGGGCCTTATTATTTGCAGACATCCCAAGTAGTCAAAAGGGGAATATTTGAAGTAATCATATTATTTAAAACGAAATAAAATATATAATCAAATGTACTGATTACATTAAAAATCTAATCCTTCATGATTGCATGGAGGTCGATATCTGCGACCGGGCAACTCCGTTACAAGAAGAGTCGAAATAACAAATTAAAAGTAGAAGCAGACACAAAGCTTTCCAATAACGTTTCTTTTTCTGCTCAACATAGATAAAATATAATTTCTTATCAACAATTTTAAGTGACTTTATAGTTTGAATTTTATCAGAAATATCACGCTATTTCGCTGCACGCATTTTTGCGCAAAGCATACAAATAACTGATTCTGAAAGCATCCAAGCTTTTAAGGTGATGTATCGAAAGTGTTTACTCATTATGTATCCGCTTATTATGATTGAGTTAGCCTTGCAAAATTAGCAACTTCTCAGTTACCTGACTAATCACTTTGCTCGAGATTTGCAGGATGAAGCACGCAATTTAAACTTTATCAAGTCGAGTTTAAACTGCGTGTATCAATGTTTGTAGCTGGTGCGTACGATTGTGGAAATTGTATATGAAAGTGAAATCGTCGGACCTAAATGATGGATTGCATAAAATCGGCTAGAACTCAATTTTCTCACGATATAAACGACCTGTTGCAAGCTTAATCCGAGCGTCGGCTACAGGGCTACTCTTGGAGAACAATATTAGTGGCCAACGACGGCCCTGACCCATGATCGGATATAGATATAGTAACGCTCCCGTTAACACGTTGACTCCGAAGTGGTAACTATGCGAACCACAAAATGTATTTCTCCAGGACGTAGTGGTACATAATTCAGGTTGCCCTAAATCGGCCAAATCTGAGAACAAAAAAGGCCGATAACTCGATATATACTAGTTTATTTGTAGGTTTCGCTATAAAAATTCCATTTATTTTCTTTTTGCAGTATTTAAATTTAATTAGGAAGTACCCCTATCATAAATTTTAGCCGTCCAACGCAATTGAGAAAAACTAAATCACGGAATTTGTCCGGAAACAAATGACCGTCTGGCAACAATGTTAAAAACAGTACAAAAAATGAAAAGTAGTACAAGATAAAGCAATCGGAGTCGAAGTGTAAAACCATATGCGTTGATCCCAACTTGTACCATTCAGAATAAATCCGTTAGAGGGAATAACCTTTGTGAAGATCAAAAAATGGTAACGGGTACCGAGATTTAAAATCCCAAGTATAGTATTTCTCAAGATATTTGAACACTAAATGAGTATACTAAATGAGCTGATTGCTATCACTCAAGATAGCTATTGTGACTCAGGAATCCAATTAATCTTGTGACTAGTTGGTGATGAGCGGTAAAAAATATCAAGTCGTACTTTTGACAAGAATCTTTCCCGAAAAATTAATACGACGCAGTAGTGAGGTAGGGTAAGTTTCATGGTACACTCATTCTTACGAGTGTTGTTGTACCTCTAAAGTGCATTAGCATGTTTTCAAGCTACTAATATCGATACTATTGTAATGAATCGACAAGATAATGACGAAATTCACATAAGTGGATGTAAATTATAATAATCTTAACATTTTGCATGAGGATCATGAATGAGAATCCAAGAAGCCATACAGGATAATTTAATCATTGTTGATCCATCCTTCCATCTGTTTTTGTCATGGTAAATAATATCCCGGAATTTACTTTACAATGAAATACAAGGAACTCCTGTCACAGACACGCAATAGCGCTAAATAGAATTAAAAATTTCCGCTTATATTCTCCATTGATGAACCTGCGACTTTGGACCTGCTGATTATTGCAACACGAGGGGATCAACACTCAGAAAAATTGAGACTTTGTCCAAATAGCGATGCACTTTTTAACCTTGTATGGGGAATCGTGGCCCAGCTTTGCTCGGCAAACAGAGGTATCGGTGTTACACGGAAAAAGTGTGTCACTATTTGAACTAAATGACCTAGAAATATTTTTTTTAGCGAAGGGTGGAAAGACAGCAGACATGGACAACTGGCAGGCGAGTTGATGGAGGATTGACGATTCATTAATTAATTTTGGTGAAGTCAACAGATTGGATCGCTGAGAGGAAGGACGAATACAGAACTTCTGCCAACCTAAACTAACGTAGCGTCAAGCGCCAGTTCTCATCTTCAGATGTTGATCCGACCATACCGACGATGAAAATGATTCTAATGTTCAACATACACGACATTGACAGAGATTATTCCGATTACGAGGCTGGATAAAAAGTCGACACGCCAAAACCGAGCAAAAATGCATACCATCCACAAGAGCAACAAACCGTAGCGAGTATACTATAATAATGACAACTGAGTTATTAAAACAAGACTTGCTGATAAGAAATAAGGGAGGCTATGATATGCAGCACGGGTATAATCATCATGCATACACAGATCCATGAAATAACTTGCAGCGGCATAATTACAGCAATAAAACTCGTGCAATATCAATGTATATATTTCGGATCAGCTAGCAGAGAAATATCTAAGTTGCGGTCGAGAGCGTAAAGACACACAATTCGACGTAAACTTGCTCTGCCACACTAAAATGAGTTAATTTGTTAATAAGCAAACTCATGAAATAGTAATGGGTAAGCATAACGCAACATATGTCATTACCCTGTTTTATGCTGAAAACTCCAACATTAGCGTGGACGAATTGCAACTGATGCAACCCACAAGGATATGCAGATTTCTTAAGGCAAATAAACTCATTTCACGAAAATCCTTATATAAATCTGACTAACTTAATGAATATTTGAGACATAAATTAACAAGAAGTAAATTTACTGAATTGACATGAAGCCGAATTTACACTAAATTAAAAGAAGAAGTTATCAAAAATCGGAGATGTGTAAGACTGACATAATTTTTTTTAAATCGCCAGCTGATGAAAAATGAAGAAAATTTTCTATTTGGGAGCCTCATTTTTTAATCTGAATTATTTTCTGCTGGAGACCGAGATTTAAAGCGAACAAAAACAGCTGTACACTTATGACTTGCCTTCTTAACTTAAAATTCTTGCACACGAAGATTCAGAAGCTATGCCACTATCGTAGAAAGATGATATAATGTTGTTTATTAGCCTCAAGGTTTTCACTTCAAATTACGTACATGTATATATATTCACAGCAAGACCTCCAACACGAACCAATGTATCACAAACCAACCCGAGTATAGATCAAATAGCAGTAAATATTGGACGCATGATATTCATGCCACAAAAACTAAAGTCAAAACCGCTTACGTTGAACAAACAAAACTCCACTTGCCAACACCAGATTTCAGTTAAGATTTTTAAATGCCACTAAGAGATAGTGGCTCATAACGCAGTACAATTCAATACCTAGCCAGGAATAATGAGACTACATAAAATTTATGTAGCAATTCATCCTATTAAAGCGTGGATAAATACTTTAAAGAAGAATCCGTGGACAAGATGGAACCAGTTTACTGAAGATCAAAAATAACGCTACAAATAAGACTAGAAAATTTGTTCCACTCATATATACCCTCTATAACTTGAACAAAATCGTGGAAAACAGCAAAATGTACCCGTGATATCCTCCACAGTTGAATGAAGTTCAAAATGAATGGAGTAATGGCGAAGTGCTAGACCAAGCTAAGATACAGTGGGGGGAAATAAATATTCGTACACTTGAAAAATCGTATTTTAATGTATGTAAGTACACAAACTTAACAGGAAAAGTGATTTAAAATAAGTTTGTGTACTTACATACATTAAAATACGATTTTTCAAGTGTACGAATATTTATTTCCCCCCACTGTATAATGAAACACTAAGAAATGCCAGTTTGTTTTCTCGTCAATTCTGCCTTTGTAAAATCATTAACAGTAAAAACATCAATAAAGAAATCATGGTCAGGCCTAAAATTTTGAATACAAGTAAAATAGGCTTCCTGGGAAGACATACGTACGTAATTGACATGAAAGCACTCACGCTGAAACTGATGTATGATATGTGGAAAAATTATTCCTTACTCCGTTCACAAATTAAGTCTGTTACTTATCTTCTGAGCAGATAAGGTTTTGCTTTACCGGCCTTAAAATTATTTTTGGAAGTTCTGCAAAAGAACTTCCACAATAAATTTCCACACAGTGACAGATTAAAGATAACTTACGCCCGAATCGTTTCTTGCAACAAGCTTCTGAGTTGAACTGAGAGGACCAGAGAGAAGTATTCGCATATTTATACGAATCCATAAAGCATTTCTTATTCCAGAAAGAAACTTTGATTCTGTGCGAGGGGCGTAGAAGCTACGTTTTTTGTTATTTTTTCTTGAGTTTGTCGAAGTTGATAATGGCCACGGTGATGTTATCCAGGGACCCGAGATTGTAGGCGTGCATAACGAGGCTCTTTGCTCCGTGATCCGGCTCAGATAAACGGCTGAGCACGAACGCCACGGCTTCCTCGTTGCTCATGACGTCCCAGAGCCCGTCGGACGCCAGGATCACAAACTGTGCCTACAACATGGAGACAGTTTAATGCTGGGGCATAAGCGACGCTTCCAAAACATCAAATGTTTAATGCTGGGACATAAGCGACGCTTCCAAAACATCAAAAGTTTAATGCTGGGATACAAACTTCGTAGCTACGCTGCGAAAGTTTAATGCTGCAACACAAATTTTATTTGCATCACAGCAACAGTTTTATGCTGGGACATGAACGGTGCCTTCAAAACATCAAATGTTTGATGTTGGGATATCAACTGCGTCAGCCACATAGCGATAGTTCAATGCTGGGACAGGAACTTCATCAGCAAGCTCTGTAGCAAAGCTTAATGCTTAGGACAGTACTTGCAACACAGCTAAAGTTTAATGCTGGGTTAGGGAATTAACCTGCAACACGGTGACAGAGCATTGCTGGGGCACCAACAGCACTTGCAACACATTGGCCGTTATTATTCGACATGAATTAGAGTTAGCACTCTCAGGTAGTTTGTATTGGTGAGCAAGAATACTGATGTGACTGGTGCTGCACTGCTGTTACTGGTGCTGCTGAGTAATAATATTCATGTGACTGCTGCTGCTGAGTGCAACTTCAGTTGCCGAGTGCAACTTTTATTCATGTGACTGGTGCTCTTGTGCAGCTTTTAGTTCAATTTACATGCAAGTACATCATGTATTCATGTGCTGACGATGAAATGATTAGAATTTCAAATAGCACATTTGAGCCTATATCCATTAACGTTACGGTATTATATATGTCTGGTAATGAAATCTTGTCATGCTGTCAAGTAATTGAGAATTAGGTACGCACAATGTTATTATTTCCTCTGGTCGTTAAGATGGCGTTTCAGGGAATGCACATTATGTCGAAATACATAAATGTTTCTTCTTTCTTTTATTCAGAAGGTAAATTTTGATGTAGGTGCGGAGTAGGACAATAATGGATTGTTTCATGAATCAAGAATAATTTGTTATAAAAACTGAGACCGGACGTGAATCTTCCCACCTTATGATCGCTGAGGCTGAAGGTGAGGACGTCGGGTTCAGCAGTGACTAAGGGACGAGGGAGCTTGAGGGGAAAGTCACCCAGTGCTCGAGACGTGGCCAGGACGCCTGCGACGCGCCACACGCCACTGAAGGTGATGAAGCCACCCGCCTCCTTGATACGCCGCCTCTCCTTCAGCTGAAGTGCAGAGTGCATGTCAAGGGTTACTTGTTAAAGAAGACAACTCAGAAATTAAAAGTTGCTCAAATGTAATCTAATAAAAACAATTACATCACTAGTCACTGCAGTGAGTGAAAGAGAGCACATTATCTCATCCGTCCGTCCGTGTAGTCACGGACAGACAGACATGACGAGCAAAACAGTGACTTTTTTTCATAAATGAGAAAATTCACTAAAAATAGGAATCAAAGCAAGCAAGTGCTTGAGGTAGCATATACCATTCAACAAGCTTTTTAAATAGCAAAAATATAGCCAATTTAAGAAAAAAAAAAGAGTACATATTGACTAAGTTCTAATCAAGTCTCAATGTATCATGAGTGGTGCAAAAAAAGTCTAAATTAGATTTAACAATAGACAAAATTAATTTGTTCAATTAGTGTGCAATACAGAACAGAGCAAGTGTTAACAATTGAGTTCAATTTAATAGACTTGGGCTACAACTAATCCTGAATGAATGTAGTTTATGAATCCTCTGTTCACAACGTTAGCCAACATTCATCCAGATACATCACCAAACATTTTTTTTAATTATATTGAAGTTTGGTGGATATTCTAGAACTCAAGTTATCTAAAAGACAAATTTTACCTGGTTAGGCTTGTGATCAAAAGACAAAGGAACAGCTCGGCCATGTTCATCTGCCATGACAGCTCTCGAGTCTCCAACATTGCCGACCACAAGCAGCTCTCCATCCAACACTGCCACAACTGCAGTGCTGCCTGTAACACTTCAGTTATTAATCTGAAATCCAAGAAGTGTACTCTTAAAAACATCAAAGCCATTTTTGCAGTACTTCAGAATAGCCTGAAAGAATTTGGACAGGGCTCTAGCATTTGAATTTATCATTTCAGCCAATTGCAAATTAGGTCATTTAGTGTATGTCAAGTAAGTAAATTGTCAATATTCTATTTATACAATATTACAGTATATTAGCTGAGAAATTTATTTTTGCTGGTGTTTAAAGAGCTACTATTTTATTATGAAGAAGTCATTTATTTTTAATGCATTACATAAATTTGCAATAGAAAAATAATTTTGAATTCTAGAAATTAATTCAGGAAAATATTTATGGATGAAAGTATGAAATATTACCAATGAAACAGACCTGCCACTCATTTATGGTGTCAAAATCAGAAAAGAAAAAAGAACGTCAGAGCAACAAAATTGCAATTGCCAATATACGTAGTCCTCTAAAAGTTTGAGCAGATTGGCAGGGCCAGTGCAATCAAGCTAATTCTTGTATTTAGTTTCTATGACAACAAATAAACATAGAAACAAAATAATGCAGCCAGAGGAGCTACTTACCTGATAAATCTGTTTTGGTCTTGCAATGATCAACAACTTTTGAATCCAAGTCTAGTAGCTGATCTGTTAATAATTTTGTGTAATTGATGTTTTCATTGAGGTCCATGTACTCATCATTTTCATTTGTTTTTTCTTTCTTTGAGGTGGCAGAAATTTCTTCTGCAGGCAATGAGGACATTGATTTTTTCCTGATGTTGATAGAATTGTAAACATCATCTTTTTTCAGAGGTTCACCAGTCTCTAAATCTGAAGCTGAACTTGAAGCTTGTTCAGAGGAAGGTTTCAGAAGCTGATCAGAAGAACTGATCTTTCTGCTCACAGTAGGACTTACATGAGGCTTAGGTCCTTCATTGATGGAACTTTCAACTTTTAGCAAAGTGTTACTTTCACCAGTCAGCCTCTTTGAGGAATCTCTTCTCTGAACGATTCCAAATGTGCTTGAATTACTAGCTGCCTTGGAGCCTTCCCCATCACGAAGCTTGTTCTGGGAGCTAGACCTGAGCTCAATGATTTTGTTGACCGTGTTTTTGAAAAGATGAGATCGAAGATACTCTGCGACAAACTGTAATAGATAAACAAAAAAATTAAAGCAGTATTTAGCAACAAATACTACATATGTTTCATGTTATAAATTACATTATTCTCAGAATCATTTTCAGATCAAGACCTAGCATTGTTATCATATCTTATACAATAAAGATGGAAGTGAGTGATGAAAAAGGTGAATTAATCACTTATTCAATGTAACTAGCCACTCCACACTTAAAAATGTAACTTTTTAAGTATAAATAGCACTCTTGGCACTCACTATTAGCAAGTGCTAAGTTACTATCTATATTTTTGAGGGCATACTGACAACTTGCATTCAATAAGTGCTTGATTCTCCTTATTTCACCACTCTGCTCTCTCTGGGTTTAATCACAATTTTAATTAAGTTGAGTGATTTTACTATAACAAAAAAAGATTGTAAAAAACATACATGAAACAGGAAGGAATATTTTAGTGACAACCATCATATTTTTTGAAGAAATAAATCATAGTTTAGGTTTTTATTTTTAATTCTTTGTTGCCCAGTGCTCAATTCTATCTATGACATCCTATCATTTCTATGCACAATTTGGAATGACTGATGCAGTAATTTTTTGTTAAGTAAAATTTTTTTTACTGAGCAAGGTAAATGTAATTAAATTTCTTTGTTGTTAATTGATTTTTTCATTAACTGGTTGGTTGAACAACCAACAGTCTGTTGGTTGAACATTTTCAAAAGAAATAGGGTAAACACGGTATATTCCGACATCGTGGGTAATTCCAACACCTCTCTAGTTTTTCCTTTATATTAAGCTTTGTCTTAGTTCCACGCATTCATTGATGGTTGAAATAGTGACGTCATACCTTTGCGTGCCAAACTATTGCCAAAACACTAGGTCTGTTCCATCTGGCGGGAAAATGTTGAGATCCAAAGAGAGACGGTGCGCGTCACCCAGGGAGATCATCGAAAAATGTGTCAAAGTTGACAGTTGACATTGCTCTACCAAATAGTGATAAACTGTTTGTGTAGAAAGAATATTATGGTTTGAGACTTTTAAATAAGTCTGTGAATATATTAGGAATCCTTTAAGTATACTTGTATTTGCTGATTTCAAGTCGTAAATAAATTAATAGATGATTAAGGTAAGAAACGGATTTAGACACATAAAAACTAATTCCGACACAACTTGAATTGGACACACACAGCTCGTTCCAAGCTGTGTGCAAAAATTAAAATTTTCTTAATTAAAAGCTTAATAGCTGTTAAGGGGACCGGCTACCCTCCGTAAAAACTTCTACAGTTATTATCCGATCATCGTGAAACTTCACATACACACGTAAAATGTAAAAAAAATAACATTTTGCTCTTATGAATTTTTTGAAAAAATTGATAGAAAACGTGATATTCATAGAAAAAGGCCAAAAACGGGTACTATAGAAAATCTATCTCCTCCTACAAATATCGTCCTACAACATCGAGACATGTATCATTTGATTCATAAAGACCATACCTATCGACTCTGCCATCCCTTTTTTTTCATTTTGCCCATAGTTTTTTTTATGCGCGTTTTTCCCATTTTTCCACTTTTTCCCTGCCCTCTCCCCCTTCTCCCCCATATATAAGACGAACCATGCACAAATTCAAAAAAATGGATGGCTAGATCGATAGGTATGGTCTTTACAAATCGGATGATATGACTCTCATTGCTGTAGCTTGAAAACTGTAGGAGGAGAAAAGATAAAAAACAAAATTCAAATTGTTCAGGAGAGCCAAATAAAGTAAAATTCATTGAAAATAGATGAATATGCCCAAAAAATCTTGCTATTGTAGCCCAAGCTTTTCCATTGCCAATTATTTGTATTCAGGGTACCAGCACGCGTCTTTAGACCTATTTATGTCCAATTTAACATGAATAATAGGCTATAAATGGGACTTTATATATATATAAATATATATATATAAAATATTCATTTTACATAACTTTACAACTGCATTACGCAAAAACTATTGCATGTACATCTGTGGTACGGTAGTAGCTTCGTTGAAAGCGTATTGTTTGTAGCTTTAAAACGAGCGCAAACACTTTGCAAGTAACCTAAATAATGACATATAAATACCATTTATTTGTAAATAATGTTATAAAATGATCATTTTATAACAGTTCAAGACTGCATTACACAAAAAGTATTGCATGTACATCTATGGTAGTAGTAGCTTTGTTGAACGCGTCTCATTTGTAGCTTTAAAATGAGTGCAAACACTTTGTAATTTACGAGAGCACCGTAAAATGGGGTAACTTTGACCACTTTTTTATTTTGAAACAATGCCATTTTTTTACTAGATAAGTTAAACTTAAATTGAAACGTGCAAAATACAGGTCTATACTCTAACTTTACTCACCATAAATTGCTGGCTCCTGCCTCTCATAGTACTCCGACAGGCTTTAAATAATAGCTCTTTTTCGTGGGTCACATTATTAATTTTTTAACCTATTAGATATGCAAACTTTTTAAATCTTTCTATTGTGTTACGTAGCCTCAGTATTAGGCCTTTGATGGCCATTGACAAAATTTTTCGATGTCAAATCTTTTTTGAGTTTTGGGGGTTTTTGTTAAAAAAAACGAAAAGTGGTCAAAGTTAACCCGCCGGTCAAAGTAACCCCATTTTACGGTAATGATTTATATATACAGATTTAATTCAAATAAATCTTTGTACATATTGTTGGAAAATGTTCATTATATATATTTTTAAAATTATCTTGCGCAAAAACTATAGCATGCACAGACATGTGGTAAACTGCATTAGACGCACCTTTTCAGCAGCTACAAAATGAGTCAAGAAAACAGTGAAGCCAAAATTTCTGATTTTCAGGGTAGACGGTCTTCTTAATTAAAAGCCTAATTAAGTAGTGTTCAATATTCAATCGTGTTCTTATTCAAAGCCATGTCATATTCCAATACAGCTCACACAGCAATCAGAATTCGAACACAAGGTTGTTGGAATAACGTATTAGTAGAGTTTGAAGCACGGCCTGAATTCATATCACAACGTGCCAAATTTAGTCACACACAGCGTCGGAATATAGGGATTTGGTAGGTTTGCATTCTAAAGGCTTTTAAATAAATATGGCAACACTTTGTGACATTTTATTGCTGCTGGCGTGTAGTGCACTGTTTTGAGAGTCACGTAAAGCAAACAGAACTCAAGTAATGCATACGCTTTTTTTTATAGTTTTTCATTTCTCGATGCATCCTTAATGTGTTGGAATATACCGCGTTTACCCTAAGGAAAATGTAGGTATAAAGAAAAAGTAAAGAAAAATATATGTAGGGTAGGCATATTCCGGCACATCAAGGACGCATCAAGAAATGAAAAACTATAAAAAAAACGTATGCGTTACTTGAGTTCTGTTTGCTTTACGTGACTCTCAAAACACCGCACGACACACCAGCAACAATGAAACGTCACAAAATGTTGCCATATTTATTTAAAAGCCTTTAGAATGCAAACCTACCAAATCCCTATATTCCGACACTGTGTGTGACTATATTCAGCTGTTCAGCACGTGGTGAGACGTATTCCGACCGCGCTTCAAATTGTACTAATACGTAATTCCGACATCCACGTGTTCGAATTCCGTTCGCTGTGTGAGCTCACTGAGCTGTATTGGAATACGACACGGCTTCGAATTAGAACACTATTGAATATTGAGCACTACTTAATTATGCTTTTAATTAACAGTTATTAGGCTTTTAATTAAGAAAATTTTAATTTTTGCACACAGCTTGGAATGAGCTGTGTGTGTCCAAATCAAGTTGTGTCAGAATTAGTTTTTATGTGTCTAAATCCATTTCTCAACTTAATCATCTATTAATTTATTTACCACTTGAAATCAGCAAATACAAGTATACTTAAAGGATTCCTAATATATTCACAGACTCACAGTCCACAGACGTATTTAAAAGTCTCAAACCATAATATTCTTTCTACACAAACAGTTTATCACTAGTTGGTAGAGCAAGGTCAACTGTCAGTCTGTCAACTTTGACACATTTTTCGATGATCTCATTGGGTGGCATGCACCGTCTCTCTTTGGATCTCAACATTTTCCCGCTAGATGGCCCAGACCTAGTCTAGTGTTTTGGTAGTAGTTTGCCGCGCAAATGTATGATGTCACTATTTTAACCATCAACGAACGCATGGAACTAAAACAAAGCTTAATATAAAGGAAAAACTAGAGAGGTGTCGGAATTACTTACCCACGATGTCATCATGTCGGAATATACCGCGTTTACCCTAGGGTAAACGCGGTATATTCCGACACATTAAGGACGCATCGAGAAATGAAAAGCTATAAAAAAAACCGTATGCGTTACGTAAGTTCTGTTGCCTTCACGTGACTCTCAAAACACTTCACTACCCGTCAGCAACAATGAAATGTCACAAAATGTTGCCATATTTATTAAAAAGCCTTTAGAATGGAAACCTACCAAATCCCTATATTCCGTCACTTTGTGTGGCAATATTTGACACATGGACAGTTGTACTGCGTCAGCGCTTCAAATTTAACTGATACGTAATGCCGACATCAACGTATTCGAATTCCTTTGCTGTGTGAGCTGCATTCCAGACAGGAATAATGGGCAGGAGTCACCCGTACAAGAGCAAAAATCACCCGTCAACGAGGGACAATTTCACCCGTGGCAATGGATAATTTCACCCGTAGCCAATGGCCATGGATAATTTCACCCGTGGCCATGGATAAATTTAACCGTGCCTGTAGAGCTACAATTTCAACAGTAATGGCCAAAAGCCCTTAGAAAGCACATCACCAGAAATAATTCATTACATGTAAGGCTGTAATGAATTCGTCGTACCTTCCTTCACAGATAAAATCACAGTGCAAGTATCCGTTGCCGTTGTGGGCTGTGGCGGCGTCTCTTGTAATGCGGATTGCGGACACGCGAGCACATAGTGGCAAACCAGAGCTTTTTTAGAATCAGTTCATTTTGAATTTCCTCATTTACTCAAGATTT